CAACCCAAACCATTCTATGATTCTACGAAACCACAAACACTCAATATCAGAACCTTAAAATGAGCTTCTCTGTCTCTCTTTTTTTTTTTTTTTTTAACACTCCAAATTATTCCTGTTTTCACAACAGAAGAATTATTCTTTTTAGCCATTTTAGTCCATTTTTTCTCACGCAAGCTGGCTCCAGGTTGCTGGATGAAGTATAGAAACAGAAGGATAATTCATTTGAATAAATCTGCCATCCCAAAGATTCCCGACTTAGTGCCATAAACACTGAGGAGAAAGGTGGAAACTTGAAAAGGTACAGAACAGAGCTAACCATAAACATTTGTGTCAAATACACATTCATAAAACTGTAACTGTTGGGAAAGCAGGAAAAAAAGTACCCTGGAGCTTCATTAACTTCCCTGATTGGAAATGATAATATTCTGGGAATCAAAGAATAAAAAATTCAAAGATGCTCTATCCCAAACTATGATAAATCATTTATTTTGACAAGTATGCAGAGTTTAGCTTTAATTATTTATTATTATACTTCGTAGCATATCAGAACATACGCAGTGATTTATTGTGCAAAATGAAATCTTAATAAAACGAGTCCCTTCCCCAAACTACAGGATTATTAAATCTTCATGGAAATGGAGGGTGAACTCTCAGGTTATTTTCATTATCGAGCTGATGGGTTAGTAAAGTGAAAATAAGCCATTCCCATTGCATTTAGTTGTATTTTGACTTCAGCCCTTTACAGACCCAGGCCATACAACCTCAGGGATGAGGAGGGGACCTGAGAGGGATCACAGACCCCATCTCTCCTGCTGTCTTGCAGATGACACAGTTGCACCTAACACGAGTGGGGGCTGTTAGCTTCAGACTGTGCACCCTTGCTAAGGCTACATGTTATGGAGCTGATGGCTCCTCTCAGGGCAGGCGGAGGCAGACCAGCCATTTTCATCTACTATTAATGTCCTTTTTGAACCAGTTTATAGCCCTCTGGACTTTTAAAGTGGAAGAGTCACTCCACGGGCCATTGCTGACAGCCACCTTCCAGCCAGGATCCACCTCACCACAACAGTGCTGCCATCACATTGCTACCTCCAGCACCCACCTCCAACACCCCCCCAGCTTGCTGCTTTCAAGGGAGTGATTTATTTCTCTTGTCGATTAGGGTTACAGTTTACACATTGCATTAATGACACAATGGAGCGAGACCCAGCTTTGCAGTCACTACCCCTTCTTCTCTCTAAGCAGAAAATTGCAAAGCTCACTGGTATTTAAAGGTAATTATTTCTATGAGCTAGTAATTTCATCTGGGGATGACAGCACACAAACAAGCCCAAAAAGCTCCTGCATGAAACAGTTTGAGGATCCAAGCGAGGGAAAAACAGTGAGGGAAGAGAGGTGGTGGAGTCTGAAGACTCAGAAGAATGGTCTATGCTTTACCCAACAGGACCCAAGGGTGGGAGTGAAAACATCACCTCTGGGCTTTCACCACCCAGTCAGATGTCAGTGAGTACATCCACCCTCTCGTTACTGCAAACTGGAGGGGGAAATGGCACTCTCCACCTCTTAAGAGTCAGAGGTGCCCTCACATAGAGCAAGAGAAGCTCAGAAATGCCAGCTCTGGATTTCGAAAGGGCAGTAACCGAGACAGGAAACATCAGATATTAAAAAATTTACAGCAAGTATTTTTCACATTTTCAGTAAAAACATTTTGCTGTTCTGTAAATTTCTGCTCCAAATCCCTGTCATTTGGGGACTGTTTTAATTCCGGAGCAGCAAAACCTCATGAGAATCAGCAAGGCAGTCTATCCTGAACGCAGGAGTCATGCTGAGCATCACTCTTTACAGGTAGCCTTAATAATGGGGAATAAGTACTTACTGAAATGGTAAAAGGAAATGTTAGTTTAACTGTTAAACACATAATTACTTTAAGTACTTGTTTCTGCAATTGTAACACTTGAGCCTGATGCAAACTCACTTTCTGGCCTGTGCAACGGATTTAATTTCTTCCAATTCTTTTTTTTTCAGCTATAAAGAGGTACAACACAGGAATTGCTGCTGCAGAGATTACTTGTTATAGAAGTGTTTTAGAAAGGTAAAGCATCACACGAGACAAGGACTACGGGCATGTTTCCGCAAAGCAGCTGAGCTTTCCCTTCCCTGTCTGCTTCGAGGCCACCCACTCCCCTTGTGTCCCTCAGCTGAAAACCTGGCCCCTTCACTCCAAATCCAGCTCTTCTGCAGTTACTGAGCTCAATGGACTCAGCGAAGGGGCCCCGGAATTGCAAAAGCTGCTGCTAGGGAGGGGACAGGGCCAGAGCAGCCAGGAGGAGGAAGGAGATGGAGAAAGGGGAGATGAAATCACCTCTTCTGCTTTTACAACAGCACGGATGAATTGCACACTGATGTTTACACACAGATTCAGAGTTCGCTGAATTACAACCAAATTAAGGGTTATGCACATAAGCAGTTATAATTTTGATTAATTAAACAAAAAAACCCCCAAAAGACAACAAACGAAAAATAAAGTAAAAAAAGCCCAAACACACTGCAAGTTTGTTCCAGTTAGATACGAAAATACCTTTAACATTTCTATATAAATAGATATATTCCATTTTAGTATGGCAATGAGGACATCAGAAATACCTATTCTTTAACTGCAACCACCTTTCTACTCAGAGAAAGGAAAAAACCTACTGGGTAAATCACTGCTGTAACTGCAAAATGTACTGCCTTTGCAAAACCCACAAAATAATTCTACGAAACCATCTTTAACACCTACATCATTTCTAAAAAGTCTACAGATTTTCAAATAATTACTAGCACTTTCATAAATATTTAATGCTGTCTACAAAAGTTCTTTGACAGAACTAAAAACCCACTGTGCAAACCCCAGTTTTCTTTTACTGACTGAATAATCAACCCAACAACTTCCAAATCTGCCTTCTGCTTCATTAGTATTTTTCCAATTTATAAAGCACTGATGTAAGGGACAATAAACTTGCTGTACTTGTCAGCTGCACCAGGGGAGTGTGGGGCTGAAAGCTGAGCTAGCAAAAGGAAAAGACAAAACAAAACAGCAGCTGGAGGGGGTTTAGTTTTCAACAGGATCAGTGACCTGGTCTGGCTCCACAAGCATTAGTGACAGCATGAGGCGTGCAGCAGGACTGCATGGTGGGGAAGGACGTGCAACCGTTCCTCCTGGGAGTGAGCTGCTCTTAGGTAAGCTTCAAATGGATCATGAAACCATAACCTGAGAGACTTCAGATCTATCACCTCTGATCTTACCTGACAGAGGGATTAACAAAGCTCACTGATAAGCAAATGCCTGCTTGAGGTTCCTCTCTGTGAAACCATCACCTGTAACCCTGCATGGCCATACACACACTTCTTCACCTCGGTTACTCCAAGTAGAGACTGGAGCAGAAGGGCACTTTGCCTGGGTGCTAGGTTTGGGTTTTTAAAGGTTTTCATTTTAAAAAGTTCCATACAATTGTGTCACTTTCCTGGGAGTGTGTGCACTGTGAGGGAACGTGGGAGAGACATTTCACAGTCTACCAAATTAGCATCTGCAGGAACAAATTGCAATGTCTTTGTTCTCCTGCATGGCACAGCCTGATCCAACCCTTGCTAAAAATTAACACACCAATAAAACATATCAGAAAAAGAAGGAAAAAGAAAAGCCCAGAGAAGCTCACAAAAGCTGGAGCTGCAGCAGCAGGTCAGGCTTCCCTAGGTCAGGCTGCTGGCAGCCCTGCCATTGCTGCAGGGCAGCAGCCCTTCAATTTGGGTAAACCAGTTACCTGCATGGCTGAGGGCCAACATGATGGATTTAGAAACATAAACCCAAGAATAACTACAGTGGGAAACTTAATTTTAAATAATTAGAAGGTAAATATAAGGCAAGCAGTGCTCTACTATGCATACAATCCTCACTGCGTATCCCCAAAGAGCTCTATTTTCCTCTAGATGTGCGTATTTTCTTACTCTACGCAGTTACGACTGCTAAGTGCATATAAAAGAACTGTCATGAAATCCAAAAGAGAAGGGGGGGGGAAAAAGATCAAGTCACACTTAGAATTTTATGGGGGACTCATTTAGAATCCTACCTGATTTGCTCTTTCAAGGTCTGTCATGATCATCTCGATTTCATCAGCCCTGGGAGAACAAGAGAGCAGAAGTACTGTTATCACATGAAGAATGCCTGCTATATGAGTTCATGCACAGCACAATTGCAACATTCACACAAACAATACCAATTTTCAGTATGTTTTTAAAAGGACACAGTGAGACTGATCAGCCAGTCTTCTGAGTGGCAAAATCCTCTCCGGTTTCAGCGTTTGGGACTGGTTTGCAAGTCTCCAATTGCTTTGCCTGTTCCCTTTTTGCAACGAAAGGCAGAATATGAATAATGAATATCTGAGCATATTCATTAGATCTTTGAGGATCTTACTCCCCAACCTTCTGCAGAAGGGCAGTGTCATCTCTCCTGCATGTAAAGCTGCTTCTCGCGTGGTAATTACGGAGAAGTCAAACGCCACAGTTGACCACAGTCAACTACTTGTATGCACGTACACGAAAGTAGCCTGTTACTCTTCCGTTTCAACAGGCCTAGATGTTTGGTTCTAAACTTAGCAAAAGAAAAAATATCCTGAGGTCAAAGAGACCAAGAAACTTAATTTTACATTACACAGGAAAGAGTTTTTTGACACATATTTATGAAACTCTAAATTTAGACTCAGGCTCTTAATGCACTTTGCAAAGCTGAATAGGAAAGTCAAAGGGTTGAAAACTATACACATAGTCAAGGAAAACCAGATCCTTCACATACCACATTAGGTGGCAGCTACCAGCCCTGACCCTTTAAAGCCCCAGCATTTCTAAGACATCGCTTACACAAATGGGCCTAATCCTCCAGCAGTCTTTTTGTATCCTCATGCTCAATCTTGAGCAAATATTCCACACTCATGGTCTCACCTGTGCAAGGTACCAGGAAAAGGGCCTACAGACCCAAGAGTATGTTCTTTATCAATGTAATTAGATATATTACTTCTTCACAGACATTTTGCCTGTCTTGTAGCTCTGGACCATATGGAAGCAATAAACACTATCCTCATCTCCTATGAGCAGCAGCTTTAACCAGCAAGTCCTTTTGCAATCTGCCAACACCATAATGTCTGGGTTTTGTTTTTAATCTGTAGCAGATCATTATCAGGAAAAGCTGTGAAATACTGGAATTCCCTTCCTCTACCCATGAAGGGAAGCCAGGGTTTGGTTTTCTGCTGATCCCACAGAAGATCCATTTTCTATGCAGGTGTTTGCTGGGAAAGATGGTTAACTGAAGTACGTCAGGGTACTGGCACACTCAACACTTCTTCATTACACTGAATATCGACTTACTCTTCAACAGCATTTTAGGGCTGTATGTGCACACTCAGGGAAATGCACTAAAAGATCATAATAAGTAAATGTGGATGTATATACATTAATGGAAAATTATTTTTAATTACAGCTTTTAATGTTGTTGGGGTAACATGAATTGCCTTTTGAAAAAGTCTTTTGGACAATAATGGAAAACAGATTAACATGTGTTTTCTTGTGCAGGAGAAGCTAATGTGCTCTTACATTGGAAAGAACTCATGCACACAATGTTTTGAATTAATAATAAATAATAGACATTAGTTACTGAATTGAACAATCATTCCTTGGGCAAATACGGATTCAAAGTGTGCAGGCAGTAGCCAGAAGACAAAGCTGGACAGGTTAACATAAGCCTACAGCAACACTTTCGATCTCTTTAGCCTCTGCAGTTGTGAAACATCTTTTGTTTTAGACTCCAGCCCCAAAAATACTTGTTAACCCAGTTATGGACATGACAGTATTTCACATGGAAAAGATGTCCCTAAGACCATTCAAGTGACCCCACTGTGTATCTCTAACAGGGATGCGAGCATCCTAATGCACCAAAAAAAGAAAGATGTTTCCCAGCATCTTACAAATATTTTTAGCCAGGATAGTTTAAGGATCGTCTTTATATAAGCTTATGCGTTCAGGCTGAATTTATGTGTGAATGCCTCAGGTTATATGGAGCCAGTAAATGATGTCTGGATTATGTCACATGCCTCCCACATCAGAGCTGGGAATGTCCCATCGCAACACGCATCCTACAGCTTAAGCAAACCCGGTTTCCACTTGCTTCTCTGTAGGGTTTGGAGAACAATAAGACCGCTGGAGTGCCAGGTATCAGCCAAAAATCTGAGGAACTGCAGAACCTGAGAAGAGCAAAGGGCTCAGAAGCACAAACCCCTTGGACCAAGAGAGGAAGAAAATAAGCTGGAGGAAAGAAAATGATTCTGATGCAGAATTGATGAGTGGGAAGGGGCAGAAGTGTGAGGGAGGCTGGATCCATCCCAGGACCCTCAGCCACCTTTAAAGGTCATAGAGGCCAGTGAAGGGAAGCAAGAGCAGGGAAATGGATGGAGACAGCAGAGCGAGAGAAGGAACAGAGGGATGCCCCAAGGCCAAAGGACCAAGGGGAGATGGGACCAAGAGCAGTAAAGCAGAGGAGTACCCCAGACCAGCAGAAAGCTGTGTGGCGGCCACTAGAACAGGCCGAAACACAGGATGGTGCCTGGAAACAAGGTGGAAGGACTCAGGAGAATCCTGTATTTAAAATGGACAGAAGTATTAATAGGGGTATTTGTATGCTGTTTCGGCTGGGGTCAGGATTTAAAAGCTCTATTACAGCACTGGTATATGCAGCCAATTACAAAAGAAAGCAACCGAGGATATAGAATGCCATAAAAGTGACATTTCTGCCCTTCAGCATGCACAGATAATTCTGACTGAATCCAGTAGAAGTGTCAAACTGTAGCCGAGGGCAAAATTGTCCCTTTGTCCTTGTATTGAGACACAGCAGCTGACTGATCCTGAACTCCCCTCTCCCTCACACATATTTTCTACCTAGCTTTGCCACACACGATCTGTCTCTGCACGCTTAAAAGGATGCAACATCTCCAAAAAAATTCAAACAAAACCTCTCCAGCCTAGCAGTGGAGGTTAATGCTGCAACCATAAACGTTATCTTTAAGTAAAGTAATGAATTAAATTACTCTATATTCTTTCCTAGCACAAGTGTCAACAGCATTCAGAAGAATCTTCAAAAGGAATTCAGTCTTTTCATTTTAAAAGCTCAACTACCACATCAGTGGCTGGCACTCAGCAGTCTAAAATCACTTATTTGAGAAAGTCTCTAATAGCTACATTCACTGTTTGCTCAGCAGAAGTATTTATTATGAAATAAATTACAGTTCTCACACCTTTTATGCACTCGCAGAAGCAACTTGCATTGATTTATTGTTTACAAAGCACTGTGTTGAATTCAAACCCACAAGGTACGAGGAAACTCCACTTTGGCTTCACTGTGTTAGTCCCACACAGGTCATTTTTGATGTATTCACTATTTGCTCATTTTCAGCCCTTCCTATTTCAATATTTCTCTTTATTTCAATGGAACTACTTGATAAGCAAAATATATTTGTCCTGCAGGTTTTCATTGAAAATGTGATGGGAACCCTGAAGGGAACAATGGCCAAGTTTAGCAAACCCGTGGTTATGGACCGACCCGAAATTTCTGACCAAAGTCAGAAACTAAACATAAGAACTACACAGGAACTAAACTCACTTACAAGAGACACAGACCTGATTGATTTTACTTTTAACTTTTGTCATTCCTGAAGCAACACATGATTTGGCCTCTTGTGAGTTCCTGCATTCCTCCATCTCCCCAAAAGCTGAAGGCAAGAGGAAGAACCCCAAAGCTTTCTCTTTCTTCAGATGGATACAGAGGGTAAGTAGTCACAAGACCACCTTTTGCTAAAACACACTGATACTTATGGTGATTTACAGCAGATTTCGGCATTGCAACTCAAGGGTATTCAGGGTTTGTCAAGGCTGATACTTTCTTAACATTAAAACAGATCATGCAACACAGGTAATACAATCATTTATCTGATCTAATTCCTTATAAGCTCTGTGTCAGAGGAAAAGTTACCATGTAAGCAAGGGAGCGCTACAGTCTTTTTCTAAGTTTCAACACTTCCAACCTAAGGAATTTAAGCAATCCAATTTTAAGCCCAAGCATTTGGAATTACACAATAAGCATCAGCAAGTAAAAAGAATCTGAACTGTTGAAACAGCACGACCATGAAATATTCTATTATTTCTTCTCTTGCTAGTGCGTTTGAAGTGAAAACCAAACCGCATTAAAAGCTGTACATTTTACAAGGTAGAAGCTTTTACCAGCCACAAAAGAGCCCTCAAAGCTCACTTGCCATCTTTAAAAAGCAACTTCAGGAGTTTAGACAAGAGCACCCCACTCTTCAATTCAACTGCTGATGGGAAATGAAAACTACAGGAAGGCTCCATTTTCCTTTTAAGATGAAGATAAGCGATTTAGGTTTGAGCAGCATAACAAGCAAGCAAATTCAAGAACTGGTAACGTGGAAGCAGCTCAGTTCTTCCAAATACAAATCAATCAGATAAAAACCCTGAACACCACGAAGATCTTCACTTGCAAGGAAGAAGAATCTGGACTTCATGATTAAAATCCAGTTGATCCAACTCCTTCATTTAGATCCCAGCTTAAAAAGGCAGAAACAACTCCTTTTTTATTGACGTGACAAGTGAATGGTTTGCCAAATCTCGTGGCTACAGCCCCCTAAACATTCAAACTTACTGAACCTTGAAGGAAACTGCTGTTGGATTCTTTATACATGGAAGCACTGAAAAATACAGATGACACTTGTGAAATTGCAGTCAGTGGCGTGGCCAAGAAGCCTCTCTGTTGGGGCAGATGAGGATTTTGGTTTGGCAAACAACAAACACCATTTTTTCCCCCACATTTATTTTCTTTACAAACACGTGTAAGTTTCCTGGTCAGAGCAAAGGGGCTATGGAGCCACCGGGGCTTGTTAAAATGGTCTAATTACCAAAACATTTACGCAGGCAATTTCAACCTGAAAGCAGACATTATCAACTCCTGTGCAGTCCTGGTTAAGTAAGGGAAAAAGGTAAAACCTACTTGTAACATAGACCTGTAGCCATCAGAGAGCACATTTTGGCCAAATCAGGTAAACATTTTACCCTTTCTAAATTAC